CTTCAGGCAATGCTTCTCCCTGTTTATCCATTCACTGGCTTTTAAAGCACTGTCACTCCTTCCCTGACATCCGTTAAAAAACATTTCTGCTCACTTGCCTCAGATATGCTTCTGTACCTCCTCCTATCCCACCTCTCTATCTGGTTTCTTTCACGATAGGAAATGCACCAGCTTCCCCCCAAAGCTCCCCTAGAACAATTTAGCTTAAGACTGAAGGTCCAGAAAGCCTTAGATTTTATTCAAATACAATGCAATGTCCATGTTTGATGTCTGTGTACTGCCCTATTTGCATATTTTGCCTTTTAAAATTTTCATGGAAAAAGTTACTTCCATTTTTCAGTCTTGCTCCCTCATTACAGTGTCAGGCATACTGTAACACTGCCAGGATGACTATGGAGAAATGTAAAACAAACAGTGCTACCAGGCATTGGGACATCTTTAATTCTGATGAAAATAGAGGAAAAAAATCAACCTGAACTACATATTCAGCACTTGGATTTATGATTTAGGTACGTTACTGCTAGCGACTTAGTGGAATCTCTTCAATCAGAAACTGTAGCCACAAGGAAAAGAAGAGGCCGGAGAACCTATTCTGTGGTGAAAGGAGGAAACATTAGCTCAGAGAATTCAAAGAAAACATAGTTACCTTTACCATACCTTATTTAAACACTGCAGTAGACTTGCCCTGAGACCCTTAGTTCCTTGCCAGAAACACACTCTTATGCACTCCAATTCCTCCTGGTCAAGCGTCCTGGTTTCAGCTGGGATAGAGTTAATTGTCTTCCTAGTAGCTGGTACAGTGCTGTGTTGTTTTGAGTTCAGTATGAGAAGAATGTTGATAACGCTGATGTTTTCAGTTGTTGCTGAGTAATGTTTAGTCTAAAGTCAAGGATTTTTCAGCTTCTCAAGCCCAGCCAGCGAGAAAGCTGGAGGGACACAAGAAGTTGGCAGAGGACACAGCCAGGGCAGCTGACCCAAACTGGCCAAAGGGGTATTCCATACCATGTGACGTCACATCTGGTATAGGAACTGGGGGGAGGGGGAGGCGGGGGGATCGCCACTCGGGAACTAACTGGGCGTCGATCGGCGGGTGGTGAGCAACTGCACTGCGCACCATTTGTACATTCAATCCTTTTATCATTACTGCTGTCACTTTATTAGTGTTATCATTATCATTATTAGTTTCTTCTTTTTATATTCTTTTAAACCATTCTTATCTCAACCCACAAGTTTTCTTTCTTTTCCCAATTTTCTCCCCCATCCCACTGGGGGGGTGGGGGGAGGAGCAAGTGAGCAGCTGTGTAGTGCTTAGTTGCTGGCTGGGGTTAAACCACGACATCAAGGCTTAGACTCCGACCACATGAAGCATCTACCCTGCCAGAGCTGCCTCTCCCACCACCGACTCCAGCTGAGTGGAGAAGTCCTTCCCAGCTGCAAAGGGGCAGAGAGGGTCATTAGGCACTCTGCCCCATTGCACTTCAGCACCTGCATGTCATCTCAGAGGAAGTGGGAAGGCAATGCTCCATTCAAGGAGCCCTCTTGGCTCCCATGTGAGCAGACTGGATGCTGTACTGTCAGGCTGACACAGTCCAGATGAAATAAGAGAGGTTATAGGGGGAAGGCTGAAAGTTTCACCCCAAAGCCTGCATCTATCCCTTTGCCTTCCTACGAAAGTGAGACATCCCTAGGAGAAGTCTTCAACGAATGCAGAGGAGTAGGATAGACCATTCTGGTTTAACATCTTCAAGAGATCAGTATGGGGCTTGGCAGGATGTTCTGCACTGTTACAAACAGCAATGCAATCCGCTCAGGATGTGCTATGTGTCTGGGAACAGGCAATTACATAGCTAGGACTTTGGTAGGAAAAAAGAGCATTGCTCTGACAGAAAGCATAAACTGAAAGGAAAAAAATATTTGCTATTACCATCTATTCTACCCCTTTGTGTAACTTTCTTAGCTTAGAATATTTTTCTTAAAAGCTCAAGCTCCTCCAGTACTGGCCGATAAGAGACTAAGCATCCTTCTTGGCCACAGAGAAAAAATTTTAAAACATAAACTATAGGGATTGATTTATGAAATGCACTGCATGCTATGCAGATTGCCAAGTAAAGTTCCCTGTAGCCACTTCTGGAACCAGAAACTTTATGGGCACACAAGCACCGCACTAACCCAGTTCTACTTCTTCAAGGATCAAAGCTGGCTGCCCCAGGGGTCAAGTCTGATCCCCACAGGTATTCCAGCTTTCTTGAGCCAGCTCAGGTTTCTTTCATACCATGCTGTATCGCATTGCACAGATGTACCCTGGCATTTCAGAAGTAAACATGAAGAAAACACTCAAATAACCATCCCCTAATTCCAGGTGGATCTCCAGTTGATCCTGCTACCTTTGCCATCAGTGTTTTCATCCCTAGCAAAGGAAAGAAGAGGAAACCAACACTGGGAGGAATTTCACAAGGCAAACTATTTTCTGCTCAAGTCATCCAAAGCTCCACTTAATGAAACACTGCCTGCTTTGATGTCTGAGAATAACTCACTACATATGCAATGAGAACCCTCCTCAGCCTATACAGGCTAAGTATTCTGGTCAGACTCTGCTCTGTGCAGGTATCAGTGTTACAGCAGCACTTCTGGATTTTGTCAGGATTCTGACAGTCGTCTAGGGCTGCTCTTTCTCAGTTAATCGCAGCTCCCCATCACCTCCACTTCCCAAAACCAGAACTGAGGAAAAGCACAGTAGTCAGCTTCCTTACACTTCTGAGTGATACCTGCAGTAACTCATCCTGCAGCCTAAGGGGTCTGGAGGAATGACAGAATGGAAATGCAAAGTGCTAATTAGTAACACGGCCTTCCTTTTGAAATATTCCATTTCCCCATTCATCCCATTTCCAGGTGCCTCCCCTGACAACCCTGCACTACACTTATTTTTAGTAATAGTGTATACTAGATTCATCCTCAGAGGCCACACAAGGTACATTTTGGGCACATTTTCACAGCAGCTGAAAGCATTACTGGACCACTGCTAAGAGCAGATTGCTATTAAGCAGACTATAGCTCAAACCCTGCCAGCACTAGCCTGTCTTTAAGTTGAGACAGCTGCTCATACACATCTCCTGTCACTGCCTAGTCAAGTGAAGATTACAAAGCACATTCTGATTATCTGTTTTCTTCCTCTCATTCTTAAGTGGTTGCTTGGGTTTTTCTTCTCACAGAGCATTATGAGCCTGGGACAGCTATGTAAGCAGCTCTTAGCACATTGTGCAAGCTAATAGAATACAAATGATTATATAAATAATAAAGCTGCTGAAGATTTTCTTGTCACCGCTTTCTCTGCTCCATTGGCTTGACTTAAAGCACACATAAAAATGGCCTCTGCTAAGTGTTATGTTCATAGCATCCATAAATAAAATTAAGATCCTGATTTAAAGAGACACTAAGAAGCTATATCTCCTCTTGATTTCAATCAAACTGGGATGCTCAGTGCCTACGAAAATCAGGCCCAAGGCTCTATAGATGAAAACAGAAGGATCTGATCTCTGTATGACAGTTTGTATTCAGCAGGACAGTTTCATTTCCTATGTAAGATGCTCACATGCTCTTTTCCAGCATATGTGCATCCCCTGAACTAATCCAGAGGTCAGGCAGGAGAGCAGCTCCAGACTCTGACAGCCGTTGCTCACATCAAAGGACTGGCACATAACATACAACCCCTGACACCACGAGTCGAGCATCAGTAGGATCGTAACTTGTCAGGCAGTTACAGCCACAGAACAACACCTAGCTCAGCATCACTGTTTCCATGACTCCTGCACAAAAGCTCAGCTCTGCCTTCCCTCTGATATTAAATGTTCATACAAAGAGGATATTATGACAATCATCTGGGCTGCAAATAAAATTAGACTCGCCTAGCCACACCCTGTGAAAAACAGTATTAGTACAGAATCACAACATTAGGGAGAAAACTTTTGCAAGAAACTCTTATTCCAGGCTAGCTAGGAAGCTCACTGACAGAAAACTTAAGCTTGTTTTTCAGTAAGCTTTCTGTAACACATTTTGGAGATGTCAATATCTGTATCAGCATTAATCACAATGATGATCACAAATTCTATTAGAAGAGATAGGAAAGAAGACAAAAGCTGACTGCAGGGCATAACACCCAAATAACAACTGCACCAAGTTTTGGATTTGGGCTGAGGCTTCATCTTCCTCACCCCAAGGAACACTATTTTGGTTTCTGCTGCTAGCCAGGCAGTCCAGTCTCTATTACCTATGTGTGGATTTTTTCAAAGTTGTGGATTAACTCCATGTCAAGGGCAGCCAGCCAGCATGAGACAACGTGGTTTGGAAGCCAGCTAGCTATTCCTGACCAATGCAGCAACTCTGCTGCATGGGCTTACCAACACAGTACACTTCAAGTCCATACGCCACACTATTGCCACATCTCCGTTATACCCTCATGCTGCATTCTCTTCACATAATTTACACATATATTTTATGCTACCTTCAACTTTCATTTTTCTAGTTTATTCTAACTCTGTATCTTCCTGCAAAATTGACAACTAACTATATTCCCAGGTGAAATCTAGGATCTTAAAAAAAATTCCTAAATAAGGTTCTGATTATGATTTTTTTCACCCCAAAATGCTGCTTAGTAGTCAAAGGCCTTTTATCTTTTTTTAATGGTTATTGCTTCAGTGCCTAGAAGATTGTAATGCTTTCTTCTGAATGGTTAACAGCTTACAGAAGACACCTCTTCCACTTCCATGGGTATTTTTTTCTGTAATCCATGCGCTAGAAGTCTGATTCTGACCATAAGCTCATGAGTTTTGCAGCTGATGCCTTCTGTCCAGCTGAATGACAAGTTTATCCTTACAGAGCTGTTGGAGTATCAGCGTAAAATTCAGCATCAGGGAAAGACATTGAGTGTGTAATGAAAGGCTGCGAAGAGCGATGACTTTGAGAAATCAAAAGCACAGAAACAGGAATTAATTTGAAACAGTTACCTCTTTGAGGCAGCCCATGAAGTTGTTGCTTACTGGAGAGCCAGGTAAATCAGCAGTACTGGGGCTCCCTCCCACGTAAAAGAAGTCATCTGAGCCCAGCATGGTGTAGTCCTCCTGCGTGTAGCCCGTGGTGGTAAGGATGCCATCCACTGAGATTGTCACCTGTTCAAGGGACACAACAGACAAAGAAAATCCCAGCAATGACCTTACAATCCTGAACAGAACAAGTTACCTCCCCTATATTTTTATGCCAGTTTTATTAAGGATTTTGTTGAGATTTGGTATGTATTTTTTTAGTTCAGCCAAGCTCCATTTTCTGGTCTGCTTCGCCCACAATGGAAATGCTCCAGCATCTGCTTCTCCCCTTTCTGGTGTATCAGCACTGTCAGACTGACCAGCAGTCTACTCATCAAGATGCTTTCCATTTATTCAGGCCAGAAAATGGAACTGCCCTTGAAAGAGATTTCTCATATTAGCTGATTTTATGACTAATTAGTATTTATTTTAATGATTACAGTTAGTTATGGTTGTTAGTAAAAAAAAAAAACACTAATGAAGACGAGGTTGGTATTTTTTATTTTTTGTTTCTTTTGCTCACGGCACACTGACAATCATGCATTCAGGGAAGTGGGGGAGGGATCTCACTTTCAATACATTATGGATGTGCATGCCATGTACCTAGAGAGACACACACCCACCACCCACCAAAAAAGGAATTAAAAAGAAATTGTATATTACAAATTCATAACCAAAATATAAATAGGAAATAAATCAAAATAAAATAAATCAAAATAAATCAACCACACACCAACAAGTGTGAGAGAAGCAGAGATGAGAAAGAAAGAAAACACAAAGCGTGCACACGCTACACTTTGACATGTCATGCCAATATATCTGGAGCCCAGAAAGATGACAAGGTAAAAATAGAGAAAAGGGGGGGGGAGGGGGGGAAGGCAAGAGGGAGAGAGAGAAAACTATTTCACACTTGCATGCAATCAAAAATAAAAATACCAAACAAACCCCATAATAATAAAAAAAATCAAAACCAAACAGAAATGTCCCCAAAACCTCTAACCCCAAACACGTCAAGGGTGAAGGGAGATGGAAGGAGAGGGAGGGAGAGGAGCAAGTGAATTTGATGTGTTTTGCTTAGATGTTGTTAGTGGTTTAAAGGGAAGATGAAGGAAAATAGATCGAGGCCAGGAGACGGGCGAGTCACCAGACGTGGACATGCCATGCAGAGTGTGTACTGAAACAAACAACTGGCTGAGCTCCTGTCGGCCACGGCAGGTAGAGGTCAGAGAGAGAGAGAGAAAGTGAGAGCGAGAGCAAGAGGGAGGAGGAGGAGAGAAAGAGGAGGGAGGGAAGTAGGGGAAAATCAGGAGAAAGAGGACAACTCCGGCCAGTTTGCCTGTAATAGCCGTTGCCACAACAAAAGGATGAGAGAAAAAGAGAGCCTTCACCACCACGGACTAGAGGCCCTGCAAATGGTTCTGATCTAGAAACCTTCAGAGTAAAAACAAAAACCGAAAGGGGAGAAAAAAGCAAAATGAAAGCCAAAGCAAAAGAGAGAAGGCTAAACTCAAAAGCAAGGGACAAAAAACCCCAACAATTTATCACTGGAATGGAAAAGAAGAACTAAAGAGGGAGGTGAAGAAACCAACGAAAGAAATGTCCAAACCCCATTTCCAGAAGAGTTGTGTTAGTTGCTTTTGTTGCTCATTTTTCCATTAAAAGAGAAGAAAAGAAGGGGGGAGAAAAAAAAGGAGGGGAAAAAAGTGTTTTCAATGAAATTAAAATAAATTAAAGGAAGAAGTAAGTATAAAGGAGGGGGGAAAAAGAGGGGGTAGGGGGAGGAAAAGGCAGGTAACACACGGCAAACCCAAAAAAAGAGACAATAAGAATGATATCTACCAGACAATGTAGTTTGTTTACCATAGCGTGTCCAATGCCTGAGTGCTTTGCGGAAAAGGGGGAAGAAAGGAAATTAAAAAATCGTGAACAGAACGATTGTTAATTAAAATAACTAAAAGCAAAGATGAGTCGTTAGGGTGTTAGTACATTAGTTGGTTAGTAATAATGACACATTGCATGAATGGCCTAGTGTTAGTCTTTCAAAAAAAGGCATGGGGCACCTGAGACACACAAAGTGAGAAAGAGGACAATGTGACCAGGACTCTATGGGGAACCATGCCGTCTAGACTGTAAAGAAGGGTGCTGCCTAGTCTTCCCACCCTGGTATTAGTCATTAACTTCAACCCTCACATACATTATCCAGGACCGAAGCAGAGTTAAAACAGTGCAATACTTACTCTCCAAATGCCCATCAAGGTGCTTCCCTCAAACAAGAACCTTACCCTCAGAGATGTACACGCACAGTACACAGTTTGCCCCTTCAGCACAAACCCAACCATGACTCCCTTCTTCCACCACCACCACCCACCTACATTCCTGCTCCTCTTCCAAGCCTCACTACCCTCAAGTGTTGCAGAGTATCACAAGCAGGCCAATATTTCCTTTGGCTGGAGAATACAGATGAAGATGAGTCCAAGACTCTGAGTCTTCCTTCCAAGCTTCCCAATCTGCAGGTTTCTTTACAGCAGGTGAGTTTGTGACTTTCAGGAGAAGCACACAAAAATGCCTGTGCTTGGCTGTTTGCCTGTAGCTCACTTCTGTCATCTGAGAGTATAGGAATTGAACCTCTCCTACTGTGGGAAGAAATGTGTCGAGGAACTGTGTAGGAAGAATTGTCGCTTGTGTCAAGGTTGAAGGCAGAAGACTGACAAGACTTAGTGTCTCTCCTGTTATACTGCATCTATATTACAGAGGAGCTAGGAGAATTCACCAGTCAGTTTACTTAGTTGGACTTAGCAGAACTTTGCAGATACTTTGTTAATCCCTCCCAAGGCATGCAGATGCCAACTGTTTGAACCTACACATTGTTTCTTGTTTGCTTTTTAGCAGCTGAGGAACTCAAGATCTTTACAGCAGACTTTGCATGGCGACTAGCTTCAGTGTTAGTAGGGAAGTGCAGCCCATGAGGCTCCATGTCCTTGTTCCACTGTGACTGAAGTTGGCAAGAACTATCCTAAATTACAGAAACAAGATCTGTGATGCCTCATGTAAAAATTATCTGCTTGCAAATTTCAGAGAGTTGTGCATTGACTAAGGAAATAAGTTTGTGAAAACCTTGTGGCATTGAACATAATGTCCCAAGTCTATTTTATTTGTCTATGGGAATGAAATAACAATATTCTGTACTTGGGTATAATGAGCACAAACTCCTGAATTCTTCATCAAGGAAGTCTCACTCACAGTGGTATGTTGTGTTAGTGAATCCATTTTTACAAACAAGAGAGTTGGATTATGGGACGGGGGGGAAGAGCATGCTAAAAATGAGACAGTGTCAGCAGCAGACCTGAAGACAGACACGGGAAGTCTGACCTTCAGTCTCCTCCACTCCTCCTCCTCCTTGCACCAGACCACACTGCCCCAAACATGCTCTGAAAGGCCTGGTAAAATACAACCATGATCCTATTTCTAGTAAAGGTTTCTCACAAGGCAGAAAGAGGGCTTAGTTTTAACTGAAATAATAAGATAAACAAACAGGGAGATTTGCTTTGACATTAGCAATCACTACTCAAGGGAATCTGTGGGTTCACTTGATTTGTCTCTAAGGAGATTTACTGCTGTGATACTTATTTCGTCTAAAAAAAAAGCAGCACTTAGTACTCTCCTAGCTTAGCTACAAAACATTTAACAATTCCAAAAAGTACTGGGCAAAAGTCCAGCTATTTAAAGTTCTGCTCTAATTCTAGAAACAGCCAAAAAATTATGCAAATCCTCCTCCCCCTTCTCCCAACCCCAAAAAGAGCAGAGGAAAAGACTAGATGGCATCCTGAAGCTGCTGATAGCCCATTTACCTGGAATTGTTTTAGCTTTGGATCGCATTCTTGGAATTTCTAATTTTATTTTTTTTAAAGTTCATTTTAAAAAGAAATGTATTTATCTCCAATGCAATGTTTTCAACCAATTACAAGGAAGCTACTGATTTCCTTATAAAGCTTCAATATTCAGGGGCAATGTTTTTTGTTGGTTTTTTTTGTTTGGTTTTGGGGTGGTTTTTTTGAGGAAACATGAGCACAGCTGGAAACAAGACTTCCAAGTGATCTATATTATGCTGCAACATTACAGGTGAATTTATGTCAGGAAAGATGCAGAGTAGGTAATTTCTTACATACAAAATTATTTAGGATATACAAAATTATATTGGATACAATAAAGGACAAAATGTGTAATTTTATAAATGATAAATAATCTTTGTCCTTCATTGATATCTTCATATAGAAGATGTAAAGGACTTTACAGGTTCATAGTCTGTCTGAAAAAATGGTTAAGTATTTTACAGATAAAGAAACTCTCTCTCATGTACACACAGACAAAACCAGGAGACATGAGCTGCTGGAAGGTGCTGTCGGAATGGAGAAAAACAGAACTCCTTCATCCTGTACTTTATTTAGAATTGTGTCTTTGGGGGGGTGTTAAATGAAGCATTTATAAGGTCAAGATATAGAGTGACCATTCTTAGTTGTGTCCTGAAAAATGTCCATAGCAGGTATTAATTGGTTATCAGTCATTCAAGTTTTCAATCTTTTCCAAACTCTTTATCCTGAAGATTGAAGGGTTTTAAGACTTTTTCATCCTTAGTAATATCAATTAAAACTAAGAATGCATGGGACCCGACAGGAAGGCTGCAGCATTCAAGGTTTCTCTTTATTGAAAACTGTGACAACCTTCAGGACTAGCAGTGTTGCTTCTCCTCAAGGCCTCATCAATTCCAATTTTTGGGCAGTTTGGGTTCTGATCAATGTCTTAATTTAGAGACCAGACTTGATAGAAGTTAAAATGGAAGTATCCAGGGAAAAGACAACTCAAAAAAATTCCAGCCTTATTGATGACTACTGGTTGAACTGTATTCTGTCATGCCTATCCATAGAATTGGACCCCAAATCACCTCTGCTACTTATTTTTAATTTGATTTTAAGACTGGCCTTTCTTTGGAAAGAGCACAGCCATCTTATTAAAACATCCTCTCTCTTGCCCAGTCAAGTTGGACCCTTCAAGAACTCAGGATCACATGAAAACATCCACATTGAATAGATCAGGAGGATTAAAAATTTGTGATGCTGCTTAACTGGCAAGAGACTCACCTGCTTTCTAATAATTGCCAAAGTACTGTCCTGGTCTAATCAAAGACGAGGAGGCATAGACCTATTTCCATTTAACTGTGGACCAAGAAAAAAAGTCACTAGCTGAAAGATTAGGAAAAGAAAGTGAGAGCTCTCCATCCACAGTTTTGTCTGTGACCCTTCCTCACTTTCTGCTTCTTCAAGATCCAAACCAATCCTGGCATGAAGCAAGGATGCATTTTGCTCCAGGCACAATTTCCCATTGAAAACCAATGTCCAACAAAAATAAGAAGTATGATTAACTAAAATGACCAGTAAGCTCTACTGAGATATTCAGAGATCAGCCATTCTGAAACGACCTAAAAATAAAAAAATGCATCAAATAAAGCCCTGTATTCTGACCCTTCCAGACTGACAAACCTCAACCAGTTGGTGCCTCTCCCTCTACTGGACCAATGGGAACATCTGAACAAAATAGGATCATTAAGACCCATCCACTGCATACAAAATTAAATTTGCATCTGCATATGAGCTATTGAAAACAGACTCATGTTGCCATATGTAAGAACCCTGCAGTCTCGTGAGCATTTGATGACAGATTTGTTATCAAAGACCCAGACACCCTGAGCATGTAGAAACACAGGGATTCACATGTGAAAGACAAATAAATATCTTCAGCCCAAACCCCAAATATTTAAAAGAAAGATATGAAATCCCTGTAACAGATAAATTATCTGCCAATATCTACTAGTAGAGACTGTTTCTGATCCCCGGCACTGATTATCCTATACTCACAGATACATTTTACCTTAGCTACTGTAAAATGTCACCACAAAAGCTGTTTTCTCAGCAAATGACATAGTATAAACTGAAATAAAACTATTAAGGGTTGTGTTAATATTCACATTAATGAGCAAATAAACAGATCATATTGTTTTCACAAATTGGTTTTAAAATCTTAGTTTACAAGCTATTTCTGCTGCCTCTACCAATCAGCAGGATACCAAATAGCTCCTATTCACAGTGTAAACCTCATTTATCATGCAGCGGATGGGCCTTAGTGACTTGATATATTCACCAGCTTTCAGAGCAAGATTATTTAATTTTATCTTATCTATTTATGTCTGAATTTATATTTCATGAGGAAGGCTTCATGATTTTAAGACTAGCCTATTACCAAATACGTCACCTGATAGAGTTGTCTGCTTAGAAAAGCAGCATGCAGATGTGTGAAATTACAGTGGTAAAATCAGAAAAACTTTTCCAAAGTGGAATTGTAGGGTGCTGGATTGATCTGGGTTTGCTTGGCTTTTTTGATCCTTCCACTTTTCCAGTCCTCACAGCCAACAGAAGAGTCTCATAGGCAGAGACACAAGAAAAAGTAGAATCTCATTATAGAAAGAAGGGGGAAAAAAATCAAAAAGAAGAAAAGAAGAACAGAGAATCAAGAAGACTCAGAAAGACTCCAGCCAATTAATTCCAAAGCTATAAAGTTGAAATAATTACACACGTACCCACCAGCCTGCATACCTGCACACTCACATGCACACACAAAAGAAAAAAAAAAAAAGTAAAGGAAAAACAAAAGACTTCCAGAATTAGAATTATGACATCATGGCAACAGTTAAACCAATTAACAAAACTGAAAGAAAAAGGATAGAGGTGTAGAGCATTGGCTGTTAGAAAAAGACTCTGTTCCCACAGTAATTAAATGCAGCAAGAATATTACTGATAAGATTGAATCATAATTAAGGAAATAATAAAATAAAAAAGGGAGAACAGAAAAATAGAAAAGGAAAAGAGAGATGAAAGTAATGTCACAATTTTTTATTATTAAATCAAAGTGGAAAAACCCAGAAAATTAATAAAGTGGAAATGAAGATATCGCAACAGGGATAAATTCCCACCAGTTAATGCTTTTTCACTGTCCTTTAGATACCAAGATCCAGAAAAGGTGGAGAAACTCCAGTGACTGAGCATCCCCACTTCTCCATTACTCTCTCCTATCTGCCTGTCCCAATAAAAAGAACAAAATTTTCCCCCAGCATTTTCTCCCTTTCACCATTACCTGCCGCAGGTTGCGTGTCACCTTAACGTCATGCCATGCGTTGTCATTGAACTTGCCATTGACCGGCTCCACAATGGCCTCGAAGGCCCCAGACCCCAGGTTAATGACCAACGAAACTGCACCGTCTTTCAGGGCCAGGTTGACATAATCAGCTGACTTGCCGGTGTGCAGAATGAGCCCGTTGCGTTGCCATGTCTTGAAGGAGAGAGTGATCTCATCGCTGCTGCTCTGGATGGGGTTTTGCGACAGGTCATAGCAAAGGTATTCGGAACCACGGAAAGTGGCCATGTTCTCATCTCGTGCTGGAAAAAAAGGGGAAACAAAAGAACTATTCAGCAGTCAGCCAAGAAGAGATTTAAGGTTGTCATGAAATTCCTAAGCAATCCCACAGCACTGTTAATGTTCTATACAACTATATATCATGGCATGCTAATGACTGTACAGCTCCTCTTGTAAAACGGCTATCAAGAGAATTAACAGCAGGATCCTCGGTACCGAAGAATTTCTGTGCCATGTTTTCAGTTTCACTGCAGCACTGTCACCATAGGGACCGTTCAAAAGTATGCCGTGGAGTCTAGGAAAAGTACATTCAAAGACACTGCTATAAGACACTTCAAAAAGTTTTTGGGACAATGATAGAAAACTCTATGGTTTGCAACATGACCATCACATCTGCATTGTTTCAAAAGAAACCAACATTTCCCAAAGATTAGTATTTAGGTTCATTGCTATTGTTGTCTGAACTTATCTTAACCCATTTGGCAGGCATTTTAAGACAGGCATCAGAATATAATCCTGACAGAGCTAGCCCCTTCCTTTCAACTGAATGAGAGACAAGCAGACAAGAGAGCCACATGAAGTGTCCTATAGTTTCCTTCTCTGAGAGCATGAGGGAAGTCCACATAAAACATTTTGTCCACAGACGTAAGTAATGATGTTGCTGGTAAACACGTCTCAGAACTTTGCCTATTTGATCACCTTATCCAGAAAATCTGTGCTAGACAAGCATGCCTTTTTCATACAGCAAAAATAAACGGGGGAATTATTCACAGCATGTGACATGACATATTTCCTCCTTCAGAAAAAAATCTCCTACATGCAGTAAGGAAAACCACTGAACTAATTTCTTAGCAACTAGAGGCAGCATTTGAATACCATAAAAGTCCTTCATGTGAGCTGCAAGTCTGCTTCCCAGTACCTGGGCTTCCACAGTCACTCAGAGCCAGCTCTGCTGCCGTACTGCACTCTTGTGACTTGAGCCAGCTGTGTACCCTGGTTTTGCCCGGTGGAAAAAATACAGAACGGTGATGTTAAAGTTTGCAGGAAGGCTCTCTATAGCCCATTCCTACCAGTGCCATCTGGGGGAAAATGGTACTTACAATGGAAGCTATTCAGATCCCCCCACTCCATATTGCAGCACCTTTCTGACTCCCAGCTGTGAAAGTGAGTCTGAGCATGAGTAACTAGGTAGTACAAGCAGTCAAGCTATCATTGCTTACAATCCGCTGCATAAGGCAAGTGCTGGTGCTATTGCCGTTGACATTAATAGCATTTTTCTGCTTCATTTTGTCTCATTTAGTAATCCTAATACAGATTAGCCAGAATTTATTAGTACAAGACTTAAGGGAAAACACTTGTCATAGCCATTCTTGAAAAATAAGTACATGGTAAAATCCGTGCCCTTACAGCATGGTTTCAAAACAGCACAGTGTTGCAACATGAACATATATCATCCTCAAGTGATAGGTCTGCTTTAAGCAGAGACTTTGCAGCCTTCATTGAGGGTATCACAGAATGAACTCGTTAAAAAATCTGGGCACTTTGAAGGCAGCAGTAATGTGTGTTTGTACTTATGCAAGCAAACGATGTGCCTATACACCCCTGCGAGCAAACAGTAAGACAAATTACTCCATGCAACAGTATAGGTTGGGAGCCAACTGGCTCAAAAGCGGCTTTACAGAAGAAGACCCGAGGGCCCCAGCGGACAAGTTGAGCACAAGTCAGCAGCGCCTGCCCTTTCAGCAACAGCCAGCTGCATCCCCGGCTGTATTAGCAAGAATGCAGCCAGCAGGCCAAGGGAAGTAATTCTTCCCCTGATGGACACTTGATTATGCACAGTCCTGAGCTGTATGCTCTAACTGGACATTCTCTGAGCTAGTGGCTAGACTACACAGCCTCTGGAGGTCCTTTGCAAATTACTTGGTTCTGCGATTCTGTTCTGAATACATTTAACTACCACCAAGGAGTGCATATACTTGTGTCAGTGTTCAAACAGCCTAAGCACAGAGGGACGATATTCATTGCAGTTCTGGAAGTCAGAGCTGAGCCTGACTTCACAACCCTCTCCACAATGTTAATTCCCCTGCCTAGTCACTCCTGATCCATTGGAAGGAAACATGTTACAATCAAGTCGGACACATGCTCTATGTACCTGCAGGTAATTCCCATCAAATAGCCGGTGTCTGAGGGCAGGAGTCAAACACAATCGTTATGACTGAGCCTTTTTCCCACAGCCGGGGATGTGTGAAGCACTGACGTCTTTGGGAAGGGGGGCGTGGGGGACTGATTGTTCACTCAGTACAAGACATATTAATAGGGCTCATTTTCACTTTCTCAACCACTTAGACAAAAACTCACTGGTCTATGCAATACAAAGGAGAAGGCAAAGCGTAGATTAGAAATCTAAATGGTATTTTAAGGCAACCACTGCAGACTCCTCAAAACAGAGCAGAGAAAATTGAGAGAGCTATTACTCTTACTTGTACCATTGGTTTTAATAAAAGGTGCTATCAACCCACCTCTGCATGCAACTACATCATCTGCCTGTTTCTTCCAGTCATCTGCTTCTGACCCTTATCACAGATGGGATTCTGGACCTGTTCCTTCTTTATATGCTTCCTGTTCTTGGGAGAATGTCACCTATTTCTGTTTCATACGTTGTTACAGGGTTTTTTTCTCCCTCCTGTGGCTGCTCTGGATAGACATTTAAATTTGCAGATCACCACACACCAAAATCTCTCTGGGGTTCACTGGCCAATCCAAATTCACACCTGTCCACCCCATGCCTCATAAGCACAACTCCCAAGGTCAACATGCTCTCTAAAATTGTATTTTGCAAACAACTAGTTCCTAAACAGTTTACCAGTGGCCACGTGGATGATTGGTTTACCGCTATCATGAAAGGCTTCAGTGCACAGATTGGGCTCAAATCACTGAAGAGCTTGACCATGTGTTCTTCCACACTACAACACAGTAGCCTGTGTCAGGCCACATGAAAGGCTTTTTACCAAGCACAGTCTTTTCCTGCTCTCCTGCCTGTGAGGACACTCTGACATATGTGATAACTATGACTGTAAAGCACCTGAGAATTACCAGACAGCATGGAGGGGGGAAAGGGATACAGGTTCTCTCTACCATGTATAAGAGAAAAAGCCCTAAGTAGGTTGCAGGTCTCACAGTATTTCCATATGCTTTCAGGCATAGTCTGGTGACGTCTGGAAGACCAGAGAGTGGTGAACCGCTTGCTATTTGTTAGCTTGTAAGCCTTGTGCTCTACATTCTGAAGGCTCCACAAATTGCACTGTGATATTTATGGCTTCTATATTCTTTAAACAGTGGTAGTGTACCAAGGAGCCTCTGCATAGCAACACAGCTAACACAGAATAGTTAAACTTAAGCCCAACTCAAAGCCAATAGGGATCCTTGGTCTATGTTACATGAAGCAATAAATCAAACCTTGGTTTTGCTGGGATGTGAAACCTTGTATATAGTAAGTGACATTGACTTGAACTGGTGATCTAGCTGTTCAAGTGTGACAATGCAACTGCATAAAATAACATTTACTTAAACGAGCATTTAGAATATGTTTACAAACTCTTGATATATACATGATTTGCAAGATTTAATTTTTAACTCAGTTAATACTAAACAGATTTACAAAAAACAGAATCTGAAAGCAGGTTAGAACATGTACGGAGTTAAACCTTCATTTCACTTGTTAATCTAAACCCATTATTTATTTTCTAACACATTTATATAACTAAATTCTCTGCAACGGCTGGGATTTGCAGAGATCCAAGACCGGTTTAAAACTCCACATTCAGACTTAAACCTTTGACATATTCAAAGCCTCACAGAAATCACCAGAGTGGAAGCAAACCCCAGCATCTTCAAACTGACCAACACAGACATTTTCCTTGAATGAACGGAGTCACTCATCACTTTAAGAAGCGGGAGAACGTTATCCTTTCCTGACTAAACATGAATAGGCACAGCTAACACATTAAGCAGTTACCACCACCGGCCCACTGCAAAGCGAGTTTTGCAAGTCTCAGATCTATACCTATTCAAATCCCCAAATCGGCTATCAACACATACTGCAGGCTGACAGCAAGAACAGAAACAAAAGCAAGGCCAACAACTACCTAAGCCAAGCTCCTGGCTCTTATCCCTGCAGAAACCCCAGAGCTTGCTGAGTCTCAGGTTCCCAGGAGAAGAAAAGACTGGGGATCTTTCTATATTGTATATTGCTATATTGCCTGTTCAGGAGAACCAGATGGTAATTTTAACTTCAGTTTTCATGTGCAAAGCTGTTGCTACGTGTTCCTGTCACAGCTCTTTCTACAAAGGAGAACTCAAATATTCAGAATTCACAACATCACTAGGAAGCAGAGAAACCTTAGCATTTTGATTTATGCATGAGGAAACGAATGCACAGACGTTTTAATGGATTTACTCATGGCCACCAAGAAAATCAATAGTAGAGGAAGCATTTGAGTTCAGGATCTCCTAGCTCCCCATGCTGGACTCATTCCACAGGTTCTCATATACTTTTGGAGGGAAACCAACCTCCTATTTTTCTCCAGTCCTGCCAGGAAGTCACCCCAACAAAAACTGTGGAGCAGAGGAGCCTCCAAAGTTTTGGATGATGCCTGAAAATAAATACTTCATGATTGTGAAGCCAAAACCAGCAAATCCTACAAGCACTGGTTCTTCCCAGGGGCATGAAGTTTAATACTCAACAAAAGCAACATCTTATGTAACAGGACTTCTGGCCTCAGACACAATCAGGAAATATTTAGAAAAATATGAAAGGGACAGTGACTTTCCGGAAGTCTCCTGAAGAAAACTTCAAGCAGCTGCTCACCCTCTCAACTTCTGTCAAAACCCACTGCATTACAGGTGTACTCTGAGGCAGTCCCTATCTCACTGGGGTTTGGTTTACAGCCAACATTGGAGCATGTTTCCTGTCAGTGAGAAAAGCAAACTGTCTGCACTGCTTCAGAATTAATAACCACTCCAA